TCGAGTTGTAATATAGTGCTACGAATGGTGAAATTCACTGACGATGCCGACTACGATGACAGCGAAACGTCCATGGTCCGACTTTGGAAATAATTATGCATACAATGGACTCAGGACAAGGTGTGTTTCTATAAGTCTTCCAAGTTGCGAAAACAAGGTCAAACAACTTCTATACAACGAAAGGAGACTGCGACCACACAAAAGGCCACTGTTGTGAAAGCAAGGTCAAACAACTTCTATACAACGAAAGGAGACTGCGACCACACAAAAGGCCACACCATTTTGGTTTTCATATCTTCGATCAAACTAAAACGTTAGTTTTTGCAAGTAGTTCCAGCTCTGATGATGCCCGTCATATGACCCTAGATGACCCGTTTTTACCCTAAATTCGTGGACTGCGTCGAATTGAACGGCTTTAGCAAATAGGTGTATACCAAAGAAAATCATGCGTCACTTTCCGGGGAGGTAAACCTATGAATTTCTTCATCTGGAACTTTCAAACGAAATTTAATTCTCCACAATATTTTATCTGAAGAGATCTATTGAAACCAAAATACTCTTCGAATCCTATCGATAAAAACGCCTTTTCAGGAGCTGAGGGTTGAGACGAGCTTGCTTTTTCTTTTGCTTCATGACTGGTGAGTTAGTCCACAGTCTGTGGCTTAAAAGTTAATGCGATTGTCTCCGACCCTGCGCATCTATGGTTCAAATGCAGCTTGAGATTCCGACCGGTTCGAAGTTGGCAATGCAGTCCGGGTTGGATGAATACACATGATGTTCGATGGAGTAAATTTCAATAAAAATCGGGGGTAGAATCTTAACCAGGTTCTGTAACAGCATGCCAAACTTAGGCAGGTCGACATTGTAAAATTGCAACGAGTAATGGGTGAATCTCTTGGTCATACCAACAAATTGTAATACCTTCATTCTAGGCATTAAAACCTATTAAAAGTACATTTCATCGTCAGATTTGCTGAATTTTTCACTGAAATATGGTCCCTTAATGATGATTACCTATGCCTTCTTATAGTTGTCACCGCGTACATTGGCTTCTACACGCGTAATGTGAGAGATAAGGCATTTGCTGATTGTATCAAGAATCACTAGCAATTGTAACCTGTCTTAACCCAGTTTACTTTACAGCGTGCTACCTCCTCAGTGAGAACTGAGCAATGGTGATCTTGCCATAGCTTGGTGACAAGGCCACAACGCACGTATGTGTCTCCATGTAGTCGTGATTCCGTAAGCTTGAGGTTACACAAATGGAGGTGAAGTGATTGGCTCATGAGTAGAAGATAACTGTTGGCTTAAAGAGCAATTATTTGGCATGGCCATATATAGTTGTTGGAGCAGTATATAAGCCAGTAATAAAGGTGACAAGTCAAGATTTAAAGGATTGTTCTCCAACTCAAGCGGTAACAACAAAGTTAGATGGCTGAGGAAGAAATTTCCGCTCTCGTTATTGACAATGGATCGGGCATGTGCAAGGCTGGCTTCGCTGGAGATGATGCACCTCGCGCCGTCTTTCCCTCGATTGTCGGGCGGCCCCGACACCAGGGAGTCATGATTGGGATGTGTCAGAAGGACAGCTACGTCGGAGACGAGGCCCAGTCTAAACGAGGCATCCTTACGCTGAAATACCCGATTGAGCATGGTATAGTCACAAATTGGGATGACATGGAGAAAATCTGGCATCATACGTTCTATAATGAGTTGCGTGTGGCTCCCGAGGAGCATC